TTTGTTTAATTCAATAACACTTCGACTATTCTGCAGGTTTATGTGTTCGACAACTCTATTCTTCACGACAAAAAATAAAATCAATTTTACTATCAAAATTATAACCGCAAATATTGAAGTGATTATTACTCAATAATTCTTGCGTAAACTTTTGGAAAAAATGACTTGCGACAATATGACATTTGACAAAAGTTTTACACAATCATATATAAGATATCATTCCTAACGAAACAGTGTTGGTCTTGGTCCAGTCTTGCCATTATCTATTTCTGATCCTATAATAGTAAAGTAAACTCTTTCATTAGTCATATCTATCTCCTGATCACTACATTAATTAAATAACAGTCCTGTTTCATTTTTATGATGCTTTTTACTATTTATTTCCATAATTTTTCTCTCTTTTGACATCTGTGTGTGAAAAGAAAACTTCATAGTACTATAAATTCTATATTATATTTGTGTGAATCGATTCAATGCTCGTCAGATATGAACATTATTCATTAACTGTATACTTAAGTTTTCTTCCACATTATATTCACATTGTTATCTCTTTTGTCTGTGCAGAATATATCTTATAAATAATGAAAAATAGAAATAAAGCTATAATAAATTTGAACGCTAAATAATCATTTGATTCTGTTATTTGACGTATCTTCTCTCAGAGAAATAATCTTCTACATCAGTAGCGTAAAAAAGAAACATTTTTAGGATGAGATTTTTTTTGATGATATTGTTAGTCTCCATTTCATATTGATATTGATTGAATGAACGGAAATGATGAAAAGAAAATTTTTATTCAAAATAACTAATCAAATTATTAAATAGTTGTTATATTAGTTAATGATGAACGTCTATAGAATTAAATTTTTGAATTTTGTAAAATAATAGTTGATCGTATTGAATCTAAATGATTCCTATAAGCATATTTTTTGTTTTAAATGAGAATAATTATCAAAAGTCAAATAAAATTTCATTATTATCTTTTAATTGTTGAATAGAAACAAAGGATAAAGAGAAAAAATATTAAACAAATAAATAAAGACTCAAACGGACAAAAATAAAAACCATCAGTTTGCTCAATTAATATTTCATTAAAAATTCGAAAAAAAACAATTTTCTTTCATTATAAATTCATTTTCATCAATATTGCAATAGGAAGGAATACTTTATTTATTTGACAACAAATTTGTAATAAAAAGGTAAAAGAAACTATCAAAATCTAAATTTGCATTTTACAATTTACAATATAAAATAATTGTTTTGACTGTTATTCATTGGTTTGAATAATTAATTGATTATTTATTGCTGTTTATATATCTCAATTAGATAAAGATTTTTTCAAGAATTTCAAATATGGACGGGGTGTGACTTCCTTTCACCCACACCCATTCTTAGCTAAAAAAGATCATTATTTTTAATTGCATTGTTATATTTATCTTAAAAATCTTATTCAATCGTTATAGAATATGACATATTAATGAATTAGTTCTTTTTAATTTAGCAAGTTTATCTATACAATCATTAACTTGGATATACGTATTGTTCTGTTTAGAGACTGCCGCACCCACACTAGAAAGCAGCGGATCCGTCCAGACCCGGACGAGAACCCGGGTCTGGACCCGGTCGAGTCCGGGTCTGGGTCTAGAAAAATAATGTCACCCGGGTCCGGGTCTAGAAATTTGATACCAACCGGGCCCGGGTCCGGGTCCATATGCCACTTACTTTCGGACCCGGTTAGCATTCAGCTATGAATCTAAATATTGAACAGTTCAGGTCAACATGCAACATGTTTTCGTATTCTGTTTCAAGATCTCTTGACTATTTTTCATTTCGTAATTAAAAAATCATTTGAAATACAAATGATAAATGAAGTTTAAATGAAACAAGAAAAATGGGAAAAATAAACAAATATGAATAACAAGTTTTAGCTATACCTAAATAATATATAACTTATTTTATCACAAACAAAATTAACATTTAATTTTTATTCTTGTTCATTGTGATCAATAAATATATCACCATCTTTATTTATAATATCTTCATCGCTAAACAGATCATCATTAAAAGTTCGAATCTTTTTGCTGATTGATGATGATGATGATGACAATTGTTCTTGTTCATCGTAGGCGTAAGTGTATTGATTATCAATTAATTCTTCAATTTCCTTTTTGGTTAGCATAGTGTTCTTTTCAGTTAAGCAGTATAATTTTAATGATTAAGCATCACATCAAATGATGCAAAAATGAATAACACGAGATAGCTTTACATAAACTTTTATTCAGAGAGTAGCCAATTATTAGCTAAATCCATGAGCCTTCACTTGTTCATATGTGCAGAGGGTGCTAGATATTGGTGAAACACTTAACGGGTCTGGGTTCGAATACGTCAAATTCGGGTCCGGGTCCGAGTCCGGGTCTAGAAAACCAATATCGCTCGGGTCCGGGTCCATAAAACCCTTGACCCGCTGTTCTCTAACCCACACCATAGCTCACATCCACACCTATAATTCCTAGGCAAAATGAGCAAACAATATTAGTTATGCATTGATCGAACGAAAGTATAATTTGTATCTCTCAAGTTCAGATGCTTCGTTCTCCCTAAAGATTCGTAAGTTTTGTAAAATCTCTTCTCAGATATTGTTAATAATTCGATCAGAAACTTGTTTTTATAAAACTTGCATGAATAAATAAAACGTCTACTGTTAGTTGATTGTGTTCTATAGTCCGTCATTCAAAGAAACATTCATCACATGTTATTGTTTGAAATGAACAGCAGTTCTCATATGCGCCCTTAATTAATTCAGTAACTAAAATATATTTACTTTTCTTTATTAAAGCAATCATCGATAGTCATAGTTTTCATAACTCGAGAACAGTAAGAAGCTACAAAGATCTTCAATTTTCACAGTATTACAAAGTGAAATTTATTGGGCATAAATCTTTGAAAAAGCTAATAGAACTATTAATGGAAGTATTGACTATTTATGATTTTTCATTAAAATGAGGAATAAAGTAAAATATTCTGAGTATGATGTTGAGCCCAGTTCTCCTCCTCTATTGATACTGATAAGGTGTAAAGTTGTTCTTCCCATGTCGTGAAAATCGTCGCGATTTTGGCGATTTCTCGAAAAATGAACGTAAAATCGCGATTAACCGAAATAGGCTGAAAAATCAACGATAAAATCAGATTTTATCGTGATATTGAATAGAAAACCGATTAATCGTAATCGCTGAAAAATCGGAATGATTAATCGCGATTAATCAGATGTTTATAAAATAATCGGATGTAAATGTAAATGTATTGTTGAGTAATTAAAATTTTGAGATAAATCTACAAAAAAATACAAATTCAGTGCACTAGATTGTGGCTTTAGACGTGCACATAATGAACAATGCAAAAAAATTAATTAGTACATTTCATGTCAATAGCGTATCTTTCATTTGGTTGGACAATCCAGAAAAAGAGCAATTATTCGCTCATTCTTTGTATTCTTTAGAAAATAATATTTGAAAGTTTAATTTCACTAGCATCAAATATTAATGCTAATTCAAGTATGTATATAAATTCCTTCTATTGCGCAGAATTCAGTTTTTAGACAACGTTTAATGATTTTTTAAGCATTCAGGTACTAGAGATCATAATAATCACATTTCGTTCGATCCACATAAAAAAACATTCATTTTCATTTTAAACAGTGAAAAAAAAATAGCCAAAGCTATGCGAAATCATAAAGTAAAGAAAACTGATCTTAGTCAAATATTTAGTTCTCTTTTAGATTCAAATCGTATTGTGTGACAAGA